TTTTTTTCTGTCTCCTTTAGTTCTGACATTCTATGACTTGGAAAGAGCATTTGTAAAATCAAAACAGGTATTTTCAATCACTTTAAAGTGTGAAACTCTGCATCTAGAGAACCAAATTGAAGGAAGAATGGGCTGTGGTCACCAGGTATCAGTGAAACTACTGCTGGCCCACTGGTTTCCTTCTGCAAGTGTTTCCAGATCTGACCTTCAGCTAATGACAACACTTCACAGCCTCCCTTATACCCAAACCATCTGCCCAATTCTCGTCTGTAGGACGAGAGGTCAAACTTGTGGCTTCTGGCCCTCCTTTCCTTTCTCCCATTGGCTGGACTGTGATATGAAAGCTTCCTTCCTGCACCATGTATGAGAGTGTTGATCAGGTCAGAGCTGCAGGACCTTGGGAGCCTGGATCTCTGGCACTGCAAACTAACCATAACTGTTCTGGATTTTTATATGAGTGCAAAATGAATTCATTTAGGTTATTAAGCGTAGGAGCTCTTTGCTATGGCAAAAACAAACAAAAGCAAGGCAATCCAACAATGTACTAAAAATAGATATTAAAAGAACATGTTTTACTATTTTAAAAACATTGAAAAAAGGCAAAGGTAGTGATTTTGTTGAAGAAAACTACTTAGAAGTTTATTTCATCATGCAATGAAATAAATTTTAGAGAATTTATGACAGTGACCAGACCATGCACCTGGAACTTCTCTTTTGCAGTCTATTTTACCATGAAAAAGCAGATGCCCCTGGCAGAATGCAATGGCACAGACATAACAAAGCAAATTCTAATCCAGTGAACTAGCTACCTACTGATGGATCATAATGAAGACTTTGAAAACCAAGTCACCAAGAGAACTTCTATTTTCTCTGCTGCAATTCCAAGTTCTCTGCTTGTAATTCTGTGTGAAGATGGAAAAGTGTCGGTGTGTTTGTGGCCAGTTCAAACTGTGATGTGAGGAGGCATTAACAGCCTTTGCTGCCTTTTCAAGAGGTGGAGGTAATTCCAGGTAATGCTATTACTGAGGAGAAGACATCCTGGTACCATAAAATAAAGGGTCCATTATCATCCTGGGCTCTGAGGAGAAAGTGGCTCAGGAGTAGTGGAAACACTCCTCTTTCCACTAGCTGGGTGAGCAGAGAGAGAGCCTAGCCTCATAGTCTGCCTGTTATGAACAGTGGTTCTCAACCTTCCTAATGCTGAGACCCTTTAATACAGTTCTACTATACTGTGGTGACCCCAACAGTAAAATCATTTTGTTGATACTTCATAAATGTGATTTTTCTACTGTGTATATATCACAAGGAAAGTATCTGATGTACAGGGTATTGGATCTGGGCTTCCTGTGGGGGGTCATGACCTGCAGGCGGAGAGCTGCAGCCTGCACATCTTTAGTAAGAAAAGCACAAAGCCCTAACACACAGCATGCTGCGTGGGGACAAGCGTTTGCTACATCAGTAGATAAACGTCAGCTCTTAAGAGCTCTGCTATGAGTAGTACGCAAACTAAAAACACTATCAGGGAGGGAAACGAGTAAAAGGAACTTCCAGAGGATACTGGAGACTAAGTGTCCACTGCCTTGTGGGGGAATGATTCAAAACTAATGGTATGACTGACTCATCAATATGCTTTTTGATGTCCCAGAAACACAGCTAGCACATTTTCGTCATTCATGAGCTGAGAGGGCGGCTCTTTGCCTTAGGCGTCTGGTCTGCCTGCCTCAGTGGCCGGAAGTATGCAGAGCTACAGCTCTACTCTGGTTAGAGGTGGATTGCAGAGACAAGGAGGAGGGGAGCGGAGGAAGTCCAATTATAGATGCCTTGAAAGCCAGGCAAAGGAGTCTAGATCTGACAAAGGAGGCACTAGGGAGCCAAAGTTGACCTTTGAGTGAAGAGATTAACATACATGTCATTTTAGTAAGGTCACCACATAAAAAAAGGGCTAGAATCACATCGGTTGGGAGGAGATTACTCCAGACTGAGGTAAAGTAGTTCTGAAGTAGCTGGCAGCCATTCCCAGGGAGACAAAGGAACAAATGAGGTGCTTTTCCCAAGGATGGGATAATTACAAATTTGTTCTTTGGAAATAAGAAGGTAGTTGAAGCAATGCAGATAACTCCATAAGAGAAGCCAATCATATACAAACAGAAGTCTCACACATATGAGATACTGTCATGGGGACACTTCTCTGACAGAAAGGGGGCATTGGCAATTAATATGCCAGAGGAGGCCATACTGGTCAATTCTGGAGAAGTAGAGACTTCAAAGTCTTTTCTGATTGAAAACATTCAGCCACCACCACACAAGGAACTCTCAGATTCATGACATCCTACACTCAGGTCCTAGGTTTCCATGCTGCAGAACATCATTTATATGCCCCAACCTCACAGTATAGTAAGTATCCAGGTCCTTCCATGAAAATAAGATGACGGGAAAGAGGACAAGACACAGTGGCATTTGCCTGTTTACCCAGTGCTCCTTGATGATCATGGAACTGTTTGATTTGGTCTTGCTAGGCCCCTGCAGCCCTCTACTCGCTGAGCTGTGGTATAGTAATATTATTGGAAATCAAATTGCTGCTCTTGCCTGTCTTTTAAAGCCTCCCTTGTAGGTGTGTGGTACAGTTATTCAAAAAGTTCGCAGCCTTTGTCTTCGGCTTTTCCCTGCAGGCATGTAGTTTCTCTAACTCATCTTTATTTCCTGAGACACTTAAAGGAAGCCTCTGTTCCGCATTGGCAGCATTCAACTGCTGTTTGTATAGAGAGGGCCTGTTGTTCGTTAGCTGCTCTGAAGGGGCGTGCTGTCTTCCTGAATGTTCTCGTTTTCATTCACGCTCAGGGTCCCGCAGACAACTATTACATAGTATTGCATTTGGTCGAGTCCTGCCAAATACCTTTACCATAATTCAAAGAATAAGGCTGTCCCATAATTATTAACAAGAAAATCAACAAAACCTACGACGGGATAAAGTGAGGCAGCTTACAACCATGCTAAAGAGGCAGAGGCAAATTCAACACGAGATGATATTTTACTGTTTTCCTACCAGATTGTTGTAAACAAAGAAAACCCTCCCGAATCTGAGCAGCATTTGTCCTTGGTGATGAGAATGTGACTTCTGCCTCTTGAAGGTGAGTTAAAGTTCTCTGTTTTCAATGGGAAGGAAACCCAGAAACTGTCCTGATTTCAAGAGGCCTTAGGTTTCTATTATGATGGACAGGCAGTGAGTGATCCTTCAGCTTGCCATTTTTTTTCTCCTTCCAGCTTTCAGACATCTGGTAATTCATACATTCGAGAATATCGTATTATGTTGCAGCCCAAGAGAAATGGTGAGTATTACCTTCAGTGCACAGTGGAAGAGGAGGCAGGACCATCTCCCCCAGGAGTGGCTCCATTTGCTAAAACTTCTATCTGGAAAAGCTATCGCTGGTCTTGTTTCTCCTACCCCCAGTGGTGGTTGGGAAAGGAGGCACACCTGCTCAGCTGCGCCAGGCCTGGAAACCTATTACTGATGAGTGCCCCGCACTGAGGTAATTATGAACAGGGCCACAGCTGAGTGCAGGAGTGAGCGCCTGTATCACACAAAGCACACGGAAGTTGGTGGTACATGTTTATGTGTGACGTCAGCCGAAGGGTCAGATTAACTCCTCCGCAACCTTGGGCTACAGGTCGGGCGTTAGCATGGACTTCTTTGCCGGAATGTCTATCGAGCGTTGTGTGCACAAGACAAATTACAGGATGTAGAGCCTGGGTCTTGCTGTGTAGGAGACTAGAAAGAACCCCTTTGATGTAAATGCCTTCTGGGCCTCAAGGAAAAAAAAAGTCACAGGTGGGAAATTTTAAGGTTATATTCCCACCTCTATCTCACCAAACACCTCCCCTTTTCCCTCGACCTTTCCAATTAATGTGCTTGTGAACGTCTCCCTGTAAATCCTATATTTATAAGATCACTAATAAAAGGAGTGTCCAGTTCCCTGGGGAGAGAACAGGAAGCACAGTCCACAAGTCTGTGTTCCAGGTTCTCACATGCTCCCCGTCTTGTTCCTAAAAAGAGCAACTTTAGCGGTGGGGGGGGAATGCTAAACTTTCTTCGCTGGAGACAGCTGAGTGGCACAGCAGACAGCTTAGAAAGGGCATGGCTTAGAAAGCAGTGCCGCCGCTCCTCCTCCCCGGCTTTAAGCAACTGAACTAGAGGATCTAGTACGGTTTCTCTGTGAAATGCAGGCATTGTGTAACTTCCAGAATCAAAGACAGCCCTTGGCAAACCTGAGCCAAACACACGCTGTCTGTACCGCAGAGAGCTTTCAGGGTAATAACAATGTACACAGTAGTACACTTCTTTAGTCCCAGCTCTGGGTCTCTCTAAGATTGCCATCTCAGACTCAGCTACCCTATCGACAGGAGAAAACTGTTTTCTTCTTGTTGCTTCTCCTACTTAAAAATGCCCACAATTTTACAGTCAGCTACTTTTATTCTGCTTTTAAAAATCTGCTTATTTTGTGTTGAATTATTTGAACTGCCCAGATCTGAACTATCTAACAACCACTCTGAAATATCTTTAAAAATCATATTCAGGGCTTACATGAGTCACAGGTGAATTTTAGCCTACTGCTGGTAAACACAGTCGTAAAGGAGACAGTTTAATTTTCAGGTCATAACTTCCCGTGGTACAACAGTATCCTTTACAGTTGAGTGTCAGCCAAGGCAGATGCTGCAGATACTGGCCAGAGCACCCCAGGACACTTTCCCATTGAATTCTGAGGCCACAGCTGGGGCTGGGACACTCTAAACAGTATCTAGCCACTCTTGCCTACTGCTCGCTCTTTCTCAGCCAACTGAATCAAAATGCTGGACGCGGTATACACATTTTACAGAGGGGACTATGAAAAGCCTCTCAGGGTCACACAGAAACCACAAACAGCAACATGGCGAGGTACATGGGAGCTAAACAACCCCCTCAAACAAATCAAAGCCTTGCAGGATGCGAAGTAGGCTCCACTTACCCGGCATAGCGGTTACCATAAGGGTGGCAGTGCCCCGACTGCAGAGTCTTCAAAAGGAGCCAGCAAAGAGGCAGAAAAGCAGCTGTGTGGCTCCTGGGCTTGCCGAGGAACTTCATACCTTTGCAATGAGAGGAGTTGAAAGTTGCTTAACAGCAGACACCGAAGGAGGTGGGTTATGGCACCCCCTGCTCACTGGCAAGTTGTCTGGGAAGGGGGTGGGGAGAAGGCTTGGGAATGAGCAAAATGTGACACTTCAGGCAGCCCGGGAGAAGGGGAGGTGCTCTCAAGAGTGGGTCCTGTGAGGAGACTACAGCCCAGCCCAGTCTGGAAGCAGGCTCTGATCCTAAATCAGGCTCTCCTGAAGGGGCTGGGCCTCCCTGAGCTGACTCACAGGCGGGCTTTGCAGGGTGCTAACAGCCTGTGGGGAACCCTTCTTGGTGTTTTGGTTTGTCTGTTTGCCTGTGGGAGATTCCTGAGTCTCTTGTACAACCTTTCTTTCTCTGCTACCTTTATAGCATAGGGAACTTACCTTAATTGACCACAGTATGAAGGAGTCTGACAAACTGGCAGAAAACATTCCAGGCTTAATGTTTAGTTCTGCCGCAACAGATTTCCACACAGCCTTCCCAAATTGAAACCCACAGCGAAGGGTTACAGCGATCACGTGTGCAGGGGAATGGAAACTGGCACCTGGATGTGAGAAGCTGGCTGGCTCTTGGCTGTACCTAGGGCAAGCAGAGGCTTCCTCCGGGGAGCTCTCAGCATTCATTCTGCAATAGCAGAGCCCAGATCTGTGGCTATGGTACAGTTTCGCAAAGGAATAGGAGGCCTCGCAGGGCTTTGTGACCCTGGCTGCACATTTGGAATCATTTAGGGAGGCTGAACATTTCAATCAGAATCCCGAGGGATGGGATCTGTCACTGAAAAAGCTTCTCCATGGCTAGGGAGATGGCTGGGTGAATAAAGTGCCTCCTGGGTGAGCACTTTATGTCCAGATCTCTAACACCTGTGCAAAGGCCACTTCCCAGGTACAGGTCTGAAATCCCAGGGTGTTGAGAGGCATGGGTGGAGACAGGTCAACCGTTGAGTGTTTCTGCACACAACAGCAAGCTCCTTCAGTGATTCCAATGAGCAAGCACCAAACTGGCCATAGAGCAGCAGGGCTTTCCAAACAACAACAACTACTACTACTACTGCTACTGCTACTACTTCTCCCTCCTCCTCCTCTTCTTCTTCTTCTTCTTCTTCTTCTTCTTCTTCTTCTTATTATTATTATTATTATTATTATTATTATTATTATTATTATTATTATTATTATTTTGAGACAAGGTTTCTTTGTGTACCCTGGCTGTCCTGGAACTCACTCTGTAGACCAGGCTGGCCTCAAACTCACAAATATCCTCTTGCCTGTGCCACCACCACACGATGGTTTTTCAAACTTCTAATGAATAAAAATTACCAGGGGGTCTTGTGACTCAAGAGTCAATTCATTCTGAGGCAGGGTTGCTGCTGAAATGGCAAATTCTGCATTCATAAGGTTTTTCAAGGTGGTGCTCTTGTGGCGGCCCCTCAGCCACACTGAGTAGCAGCAAGCCTTGATTTTAGAATTAGCCCTGCTTTTTCTTCTCTCTCTAGAGTGGGGTGGGGGTAGGTGCTTAGGTGCAAGTCATTTTCTGCCAGAAATTCCCCATGGTGGCAGCCAAAGAGCTGGCTTCTGCTCACACACAAACCCCATGCTGTGGGACTGCTCTGCAATAGCAGCCTGTAACCCTCCTGGAAAGTACCAGCAGTATTCCAGAAGAGTGGTCTAGGGTTGCTTTACTTCACTCAGTCCCTGTTGGGGGGGGTGGGGACACAAACCTTCCCCATCTCCTCTGCTTGTCTGACTGGGTCAATTTTAGGTTCATGACAGTCAAAACGGTTTTCATTTAAAATGATTCTCTGACATTTTCAAGTTCTCCCAGTATTAGATAAACTAATCTTTTTCTCTGTGTCCCATTCCCTAAAACGTGGGAGTTGTTCTGCTGTGGGACTCACGCTGTGGAATTAAACTTTGTTTGGTTGCTTCATAAAACTGCATCTTCTCTTTAGTACAGAGTTGTATCCCCTTTGTTATATGAAGGAAACCCCAAACACCTTAGCTGGAGGGAAACAACATTCTCTGAAGGAATGGCCAGAAATGTTTGATGGGTGAATGTTGAACCTGGAAAGACATTTACTCAACAAACACTTGTTCTGCCGGTCCTGTATCAAGGTAGAGGAGCGATCAGTTAGGCGTCAGAAACATGTTAGGTATGAGTTTGGGGATTGGAAGTTCCTTAGATCTCTGGGTCTCCTGGTGTTTGTTTGTTTATATGTTTTTTTTTCCCTTCTGGACTTCAGTACCTAACACTTGGGTTTTTGTAGTATGATGGAGGACGCTAGTGTTTATAGCAATACTTGGGACTTTTTTGATGAGGCCAAGGAAGCCTATATAAAGCTAATGGCCTGTTTAAATAAGAGGTTACTGTGTAAATAAAACACTTCATCTCTCTGCATTTCATTATGTCAAAAGAATGTGTAAATCTGTCATATTTTATCGCAGCATTAAAGTGGGAATGTTCAGTGTCTGACTAAGGATTAAATTCATCTTCAAACCATTCCATAGGACCAGATCCAGAAAACACAGTCTTCACAGGCTTGCTAATCTCTGAGACCAAGGGACCCATTCCCTGGACCATCAAAAATGCAGAGACCCAGGAAACATCCTCTAACCTTACTAAAAATTGCAAATCAAAGAGAGCTTCTCAAACAATGGAAGCCATGCCTAGCAATCCTCCTTTGCTTTCTTTAGGCCCAGGTTATCTGATCAAGCTTCTCTTGGGATAGATAAGCACCCATAAAATGAGTGATAAATGGAGTCCATTTAGCAAGTGGGAGGAGAAGAGGATAGGGTTATAGAGAGATTCACAGATAAAAGCTCCATTTTTAAATCACTAAGATGGAATGAATTATTAAACTCACTGAGGATTTGGAAGTGGTAAGATGAGAAATGTCATTTATTGTCTGTGCCTCTGTCATACTTTAATAGAGGAATAAACTTTATTAAAGGAAAAATTGCCTTGCAAAGAAAGAAAGGAAACTACATTTTGGAAAGGAAGACATTATCCTTGCTTTGGATCTATTGTTGACCATTAAATAAATTTTATCATATCTTCAGATATGAAACTGGATGATGGTGGAGGTAGGGAGGGAAGCAGAGATATTTTCCAAGACTTAAGCATATGTGTCGTAAGATCAGGTAAATTTACTTTGCTAAACATCAGGAGATGACAAAGGGGTTGGTTTCTGTAGCATACATAGCCACTTGCCATGGCAGTTGGTTTCCTGGTCATTATTCAAGGTCTAATTATCACTTGCCCGTTGTTGAGCCACCTCTTCCAAGGCTTTCTGGCATTGTTCAACTGGTGAAAAGAGTCCATGTGATACTAGGTGCTGCTTCAAGAATCTCCACAGTTGTTTGAGGAATGTTCTGAAGCTCCCTTCAGCAATGAATTACAAACAACGTTCTCCCATTCATCTCCAGTTCCTCCAACTTCCTTTATGAAACTACCCTGGCATAAATAAACATAATCAAAGACACATTCAAATCCATCTTTTTGGCTATCAGGCTACAGAAACAATAGTCCCCACAAAATTAAAATTTCCCCAAGAGTCTCTTGTTTAGAGAGGGAAAAGCTGGAAGCCTGGTGATAGCCAGAGGAAGAACTGGACCAGATCCCACCTTATAGGGGAGAGTGGAATCATGACCCAGAGATGGGCAGGGCCACACAGCAACCAAGAATGCTTAGTTATTCATAACTCTTGTCCTCTGTTTAAACTTAAACCCTGTGTCAGAATTCTGAACCTGAACTTGGAGTGGGGGAGTCACTGGGCCTCCTTATCTTTCTGATGAGGTCATATTGAAGAAATCTTTATTTGCTTTCTGTCATTCTTTGTTTCTTTGACCAGCTGAGGAAGGGAGGCTCAGCTGTAGACTTAGCCTTTGACCTGAACCGGTAACATTGCTTTGACCAGTGTCCCCAGTCTTCCTGCCAATCACCCCTCTTGCTCCCTCACTTAACACAAGCCATTTGTTTTCTCTGTTTATCTCAAGGCTGCTCAAAATGCATCCTGGAGCCTCAGTGGTTTGCTTCTATTCCTTCCATCTGGCTGAAACTTCCTCTCAAAAACCTGTAGAACCTCTAAGTGTAGAGTACTCTATTACTTCTTAAAATTGAAAATAGAGGTTTTTCATACAATATATTCTGATTATGGTTCCTTTCCTCTAACTCCTCCTAGCTCCTCTCTACCTCTCCTCCTACTCAAATACACACCCTTTTTTACTCTCTCTCATTAGAAAACAAACAAGTATGGAAGACTAAAAACAGAAGAGAGTAATAGTAAAATAAGTTAAAAACAAACATGAATAGGACAAAACAAATAGCCAAAGAAAAAGCAAAGGGCACAGATATAGACACTGGAAAGATGGTTCAGCTGTTAAAGGCTAGGCTCACAACTAAAACACCCATGCTCTACTCTAACCTTTCTACAACGCTGATATCTGAAGCTCTATTTAAAACCCTTTGTCCTTGGCTTCTGAATTGTTGCCTTTTCCTGCTTGTGATGTTGATGCTTTTGGGGGCCTGTGTATGGCCCTCTCCTCTTCCATATCAATGTCATTGTCAACCTGGTCTCTGATTTTATGGCAGCTGGTGCTGATGGGAGGAGTGGGCTGAAAAATAACTACATTGTTATATCTGGTTCTCCAGTGAACTCTAAAGCAATAAATCATAGATACTGTGATGGACAGTTGAGGTGGCAGGTAGGAATCACATTCCTAGGGTGTTCTGACAAAGTAGATGGTTAAACAAAAGTGTGACAAGAAGACAAACAAACCAAGATAGGGATGACGACATGAAGAGGGTAAGAGATGGTGGGGACAAGAGGATTTATAGACACAGGGAAAGCATGTAAGGAAGAAGTCAAAGCTTTCTGCCCTTCCTTCAGCCTCCATGGGATGAAAAACAACACTGCCACTTATCTGCCTGGCATTGAGGGCTCTTTTTTTTTTTAACTTTTTACACATGTCACTATCAGTTCTCTCTCCCTCCCCTTCTCTCCCCCCAATCCTCCCAACCCCTCAACTCCACTCCATCCCCACTTTGCTCCCCAAGGAGGGCAAGGGCTTCCATGAGGGGTTTTCAGAGTCTGTGACATCATTTCGGGAAGGGCCTACGTTCTTCCCCATGTGTCCAGGCTGAGAGAGCATCCCTCCATGTGGTATGGGTTCCCAGAGTCCATTTGTATGCCAGGAATAAATACTACT